CTCTCTCTCTCTCTCTCTCTCTCTCTCTCTCTCTCTCTCTCTCTCTCACCCCCCTCTTTCTCTCCCGGCCACCAGCTTACCCTCGGCATCCAGTAGTCTGGTCACCCCCAGCTGTTGCTCAGCCACCGTGAACGCTTGGTCTATGCGCTGACTGGCCGTCATGTGTCTCACTGCCTTCATGTCCACTAGCTCCGGCCTTCAACGTCGGGGCAGCTTTGAATATATGCTGCTGTTGTGAGCGCCAGTGAAGCTTATATAGAGCAACATTGCTGTGTGCTGCTGCTGCTATTGCTGCTGCTGCTGCTGCTGCTGCTGATGATGATGATGATGATGGTATTGATGATGGCGATGATGGTGATGATGACGATGTTGCTGCTGCTGATGATGATGGCGATGATGATGATGATGATGATGATGATGACGATGATGATGGTGATGATGGTGATGATGATGATGATGCATGCACTAACATCACTGTTTCTTTACGTAACAAGCATGTGTGATGATATATAAGAACAGATGTGTATATAGCTAAAGGTGGCATATCTTGAATCTTGTAAATATTGAATATGAAATACAAATCTTAATGCAAGTAAGCTAGTGAGAGTAAGAGAAAAACTCACGATTCGCCATTTCGCAGATTTCGGACATCGTCGTGCACAAACAACCGACGATGTCGCCCCCTGGATTATACGTCGATCACCAGGAGGCGCCGGTGACGACGGGCAAGGATGCACTGCTCTACTGGGCCCAGCGCACGGTAGCAGGCTACCCCGGTCTCAAGGTCAACGACTTTAGAAGGTCATGGCGGGACGGCATGGCATTCAATGCCATCATTCACAGGAACCGGTAGGTGGCAGCACGTGTTCACATACTGACGAAGTTTGTCGCGAAATGTCAAGCACATGTAGTAGTCTGTAAAACAAGTGAACGTCAATCATTTAAATTACGTTTAATAATTTAAATATACTACAGCAAAAGTTCAAGTTGAGTAACAATACAAATTTAAGTTTAATATATTTAAATATACTACAGGGTAAATATATTAGAAGAAATATAGTATATTTATACATGCTATTTTATAAATTAAAATGATTAATCATTAACTGTGTTTTTAGCATAAGGTGCATTAACATACGCGTGTATATGCTAAAAAGCAGACAAATCAACATTGGCTAAAAGTACACCATATGTATATATATATATATATATTATTATTATATATATATATATTTATTTATTTATTTATATTTATATATTGCATAGCTAAGTTTGGCCGTGCGCAGACAGGAATGCCTGCAGCAGCAAGAACAACATGATAAAGCTAGCGCTAGCGGGACGTTGTGATTCTGATACGTGGTTACCGGCCCCTGCAAGGAACATACGGAACTCGGGGAGGAAAACTACGTAAATCCATCTGTCTACAGCTAGGCAGGCAAACAGCTATAGGAGGTGTAATCGCTTCTTCGCGTTTAATCTTGGATGTCAGACGCATAATCGAGTAGTGTAGGAGACTATCCGACTCTTTATCGCTATTCAACCATGATATCAGCGCGAATATAGGCCGAGTCTGTGTGCATAATGGTATGCCTATCTAATACATATATTTTTTATTTATTTATTTATTTATTTATATATGTGCATGTACGGGCAGATAGGCACGTACGCCCACGCACGCACGCATTTATTTCGGTGGCATATGCTGCTGAACTAGCACGTACGCACTCACACGCGCACGCACGCACGCACGCACGCACGCACGCACGCACGCACGCACGCACACCCACCCATACACTCGCACGAACGCACACAAACAAACACTCCATCCTCGTCTAGCACCGTGACACACAAACAAACCAACACTCCCTCGTCCACGCACACCCACGCACGCAATGCTATCATCATTTTTCACGCACTGCTAGAGTACGGGGGTGTACGCATATGTAGGTACGGCAGTATGACAGTACGTACGGGGGTGTACGTATATGTGGGTACGGCAGTATGACAGTACGTACGAGGGTGTACGTATATGTAGGTACGGCAGTATGACAGTACGTACGGGGGTGTACGCACATATGTAGGTACGGCAGTATGACAGTACGTACGGGGGTGTACGTATATGTAGGTAACGGATTAACGAATGCCCTGACTCACACCCAGCCGAACGACAAGCAATTGGCCAAATAATTACTATTTTCATTGTGTGTTTGCTGCCGCGGCTCGTGCATCTGTATTGACGCGGCTAAGCACACACTAGCGCAGATGTAAGCATACTACTAGCGAACCACACAGCGATACACCATAGCGATATTACGAACACTAGCGAGTATTAAGCCAGACACAAGCGAAGTAAAGCGCAGATCACCTATGCAGAATGTAAGCGAGACACTTAGCGAGACACAACGCAGACACTAGCCGATAACACAAGCGAGACACTATGCGACGACTTTAACCGCAGACACTAGCGCCAGATTTAATGCCGAACACTAGCGCATCATGTAACGCAGACACCAAGCGTCAGATTGCTAACGAGACCTAGCGCAGACACAAGCGAGACTACTATCGAGATGTAAGTCGAGACACTACCGAGCACGTAAGCGACTGCACACTAGCGAGACACAAGCCGATGCATCGTAAGCGCCAGCACAACATAGCGAGATTGTATAGCGAACACTAGCGAGACGTAAAGCGAGCACCGACACTAGCGAGCATGTAAGCGAGACGTAAATGCGAGGAGACACAAGCGAGACCACTATCGAGACACAAGCGAGACACTAGCGATATGTTAAGCGAGACATCTAGCGCCAGATCCGTCAACCGAGACACTTAGCGAGATGCTAATGCGATGCACATCAAGCGAGAGTAAGCGAGACTTACTAGCTAGACACAAGCGATGACACTAGCGAGCACTGTAAGCGATGACACTACGCGAGACGATAGCAGACACTAGCGAGACACAAGCGAGATTAAGCACTACAAACTAGCGAGATGTAGCGAGTACACTAGCGACGACGTAAGCGAGACACTCAGCGAGATTGTAAGCTAGCACGTAATGCGAGACGTAAGCGAGACGTTAGCGATGACGGTAAGCCGCACGAGTAAGTGATGACACAAGGAGATGTCAACGAGACACTAGCGAGATTAACCCGAACTACAAGCCATGATGCTAAGCGATACTAAGCCCATGACCATCTAGCCAGATGTAGCACGACCTTAGCGAGCATTGTAAGCGCAGCACACAACTGTGGAGCCACCAGCGAGACCCGCATGCGGGCGCATGTCCGTATACTTGAAGCCACGCGCCAGTCGTGCATCACGCCTACCCTATCCTCTTTACTCGCGGCCAGCCACCGATACACTCATCAATGTCAACCTTCACCCCCACGCTATTAATAGAGCCCGGTTAATTAGAGATTGCTTCGCTATAGATGAGCAGTGCATGGATTAACGAATGCCCGTAATGCTTGATGGCAAGATTAATGACTTGGGCTTACATTAGAGCCGAATTTACTGTCGCACGTCCCGGGCGGAGGACCACGCGAGTTCGCCAACGCCTGTCACGCAAACAAAGTGAACGGTGTGAAAGATCGCAGCCACATTGCATTATCGTGTCGTCTTCTTACGGCTGTCACACTGCCTTATATATATATTATACTTATTACATATGCTCTACAGTGAGCTAAACATATCCACCTAGAGCAACCGCCTGCCCCATGTAGCTTCCAACCAATCAAGCATGCCCGAATAGTCTTTTCTTTTTATCGGGCAGCTGCCGATAAAAACACTGCCCTCTATTAAAACAACAGCTACCGCATAAGTTCGATAATTCGAACCGTTCCACTTCCGTGAAATCAACGTGCCGAACTCCCACTATAAGCTTCATCAACTTCCAGCAAGAGCGGAATTTCAATTGTCTTCAACATTTCTTCCAGAGCGGGGAGGGAGGGCACGTGGTTATCTGCGCGCTGGGACTGGGATGTTGTTGCAAAACGCATTGCTCATTGTGTCTGTTTTGCACGTGCTAGCCGCGCGTTTGACGAGGCAACCATAGCGAGTGCCACAAGATCCAAACTTGCACACCTGGGACCCTGAGCTACTCCAACGCCCTTTCGCGGACAGCATGCGGCCAGAGCGACGCGCCGGACGCGGCGGGACCTGTCAGTATGGAGGAGCAAGGCCGGAGGAGCACCTGCTCCCATGAGGGAGGCACCGGGCGGGAGAGCTGTGCTATGCCAGCGAGCAAGGCGGGACGACTGTCCAGAGGCAGGAGGCCGAGACTGATCGTATGGCCAAGCGCGGCCCGTTTTGCACCAGGTTCGAGAGAGGATGGGGCAGACTGGCAAAGGAGGCAGCCAGAGTATGTGGCGGAGGCCTCGTCCACGGCAGTCGCAACCCTCTCTTTCGCACCATAAGTCTCAAATCCCCTTTCTCTAAACCCCAAATCTTTCTCCGAACCCTAACATAACCCTTCTCCCGCATTCCCTAACCCTCTCCCCACACGCTAAGCCTAATCCAATCTCTCTGCCACCCTTAACCCTAAACCCCTCCTCCCCACACCGGGCTACAGCCCTAACCCATCTCCTCCCACCCTAACCCTCTAACTCCCTCCCCCCACACTCCCTGCAGACTACACTGCTTTCCCTGCCTATCCGTTCTGTCTAGGATCAAGACCCGTGCAACATACGACCGAGAAAACATCGATCGAGTGGCAACCCCCGAAACTTTCACGCTCGGCCTCATATGGACCAATCATTCCTGAAATTCCCAGTAAAGTGTCGCTGTTCGCAATGCACCCCCGCTACTTCCACGTTCATTACTGCCTTTATCGTTTATATCTTATCTCTCTTTCGACCGTACCTCTCACTACCTGCCGTACCTACAATTATACGTTCACACCCTCGTACGTACTTGTCATACCGCCCTACGCCATCACATATACGTAACACCCCCGTACGCCTCACTGCTCATACCCGCCTTACCTACCGCATATACCGCATCGATCCCCCGTACCTCGTACTGTTACATACTCCGTACCCAAC